AACACTTGATTGACCGAATAACTCCTAACTGACCAAATTACCCTTGACCGAGTAACTCCGGACCGAGTGAGTAACCCTCGACCGAGTAACCACTGATCAACCAAGTAATCCCTAACCGACTTAGTAACTCCAACACCGAGTGAGTAACCCCTATAACACTAACAAAGTAACCCCAACCCATAATTATTGGCCACACGATGTGACCAACTACATATAAAAGTTTGTATTACTAGCAATGCGTGTATATAAAAATACTATGTGAGATCATTTTTAATTTCTATATGACTTTTTATGATAAATATTTTTAGATATTATGATTAATTGTAGGCATTGGTGCCATGGAAAAAAAAACAAAAAAGGATATAACATAATTAAAACTTGTGGGAGTGTGTTTATTGAAATTGGAAATATAAATATATAATTCATCTATATTGACAAGATAATTTATCATATACGATATAATTAATTATAGCGTGTTTTGAGTGCGTTCATCACACACATGATCGCTTGTAAATGAACAAAGTAACTCTTAGGCCCTGTTCACATTTATTTAATTTCAGTTCAGTTCAGTTCAGCTCTGCTCCAATCAGTTCAGTTCAGTTCAGCTCCAATCTGTTAAATTCAGCTCATAATTCCCTCTCTCATAAAAATATTCATTCAGCTTAGTACAGTTAAGTTCAGTTCAGCTCCAATCAGTTCAGTTCAGCTCAGTTCAGTAAATGTGAACATGTCCTTATAACATTGATCAACTAACACATACGACTGAGTAACCCTTATAACGTTATTAAGTAACCCTTATAACTAACACCGACGAAGTAACCTCTGTAACAATGATCGAATAATCCCTATAACACTAATGAAGTAACCACATGATGGTAGGCCATACGGTGCCACATATAAAATTTTGTGAATTACTTATGTCCCCCACTCTTTTTATTAATCAATATATATATTATTTGTTTATAAATGTTCTTTTTTTTTATTTGACAAAGGTTTTCCCTTTATTTGTCATAATCGTAATACTTTGACTTTTTCACTATTTATATGTTTATTTTGACGATAATTTTTTACCATTATATGTATACTAAACATATATGGCCATGTAAATATTTTTGGATTAGTGTATTTAAGTATATTTCATTGTATTAAGGGCCTTTTCTCTTACGTTGAAATTCAGTTCAATTCAGTTCAGTTCAGCTCAGTTCAGTTTAGCTCAATTCAGTTCAGTTCAGTTCATTTCAGCTCAGTTCAGCTCAGCTCCTAATTTCCTTCTCTTATAAAATATTCAGTTCAGTTCAGTTCAGTTCAGTTCAGCTGAGTTCAGTCAATGAGAACAGCCCTAACCTTTTATACAATCTAATGAAAATATACTACATCCGTTAAGTATTAGTTGCAAATTTGGGGTAATATTTGAGATATATAGTTGCAACTAATATTTAATAGAGGTAGTAATTACAAATTAAATATTAATGGTCAAAATTGTGCATTGATATGTGTGCCAGTCAAGCAAAGATCTGGCTTGGGATATATGTCCATTTTATATAGTGATTTATCTCGTCCCTTGGTCATATTTAGGAGTATTTTTGGCTCTACGGATCTATTTTTATTACCAATATGCATTTTCTAGTGTTTTCGTAGATTTTGGTATTGCTTTGTAGGAAATTGCAGATTTGGAGTATTTCCCCGGAGTTAGTTGAGCCACTATGAGCATTGAATTTGGATCGCATTGATATGACCATATTGCATAGCCCAAGATCGTGTCAGAGTAATTAAGAACTGTAATTAAGGGCTTGCGAAGAAGAAGAAGCTGAGGCATTGGACTTGCTTCATAGAAGAAAATATTTGGATTGGGCCGAGTAAAGGATCCCAAACGAGGAATCCAATGTTACCTGATGGACTTGCCCGATCGACAAGTGTTCTCGCCTTGAGGCGCGCCCGACCGCGCGAGGAAGAGAAAGAGCAGCAACATCTCTTCTGAAGGCGTGTCCTACCGGGCGAAAGAGATTGAAGGAGCACCATGAGGCTTATCGGCCTGGTCGACCAGTCATGCTTCCTACCGGCGCGTGTTTTTGAGGGCGTTTAGAGATGACTAATCATAGTCTTAGTTTAGGTTTCTTAGCTTTAATATAAATACGCTTTTGTCAAGCGAAACTATTACATCTTCCATTAGTTAAAAATTCCAAATTTTAGTTTTAAGCTTACATTAGTATTTTGTTCTCTCAACACTCTTTGGTTTATGCAATTTATTAATTCCATTTATTTTGGTAACGATTTTCTTCTTTTTATTTCTCGTAATTTAAATACTTTGATTAGTTATGTCTTGTTTAATTGTTTTCTTAGGTTAGATTTCAATATGTGTGAGTAGTTTATTTCTACGGTTAGGGGGTGATTTATTATTGATGATTGTTAATGCTTTAGTTAATTTCCTATTGATTGATTTAATGCTATTCAATTAGATTAGGCATGGTTTCACTGTTTAAGTTATGCAATATTGATTTGAGATTCGGCAAATGAGAATTGATGTTTAGGCTTAGTTTCAATAGGCAGATTAATTTATAAATGGTTAAGTCAAGATTTGAGAGATGCGATTTAATACCGCTAGATTTACTCTGTGATTGTAATACGTAGCAAAGTCTTTTATGATCTTATTAATTGATGCATTGATTTTTATGCTTTACATACCCCTGAGTATTATTGGTGAACCTATACCCTAGGCTTTGATTTATTGTTATTCCTATTATTCTTATTCACGTTAGTTTATTTATTTCCCTTAGTTTAATTCTCATAAAATTATATTTGTTACTTGATAATTTAGACCATATCAATTCTTTAGGAGTAGAAATACATTGCTTTCACGTGGATTCGACCCTACTTCCCTATCTATTTTAGGTAGAGGACTTAAGAATTACTTTTGATTTGGTGATATGACTAGAACCGTCAAAATTTATAATAATACAGAGGGAGTAATATTAAAACAAATGAAACGCATTGCAACCTATTGCAAATCAAACTACTCACAAGTTGCAGGCTCCAAAGCACTTTTTCGTGTCAGATCGGATCAGGTTTGTCGCATAAGTTTTTGATATTTGACACCTCTAAGGACGTAAGATCGCAAATCCAGATGGGTGTGCAATGACTTTATAATATGGATTAATTTAATTACTCTATTAGCAAGGGTTTTGCTTAGGCAATTTAAGAGCATGTTATGTTCACATTTACTCAAGTGAGCTGAACTGAATTGAACTGAACAAAACTGAATAGAGTTGAAATGAATATTTTATGAGAGAAGGAAATTAGGAGCTGAACTAAAATAAACTGAACCGAACCGAATTGATTGGATCTGAACTTAACTGAACTGAATTGAAATTAAGTTGAAATGAACAGACCCTGAGTCTTTAATTAGGCTAACTAATCCTAAGGTCCAACTAAGTTGGTTTGTCCTAAAAGGCTAAGGCTGGGTTATTTGGGTTCCTAAAGGGATTTTCAATCAATTTTTGGGTTTTTTTTTTTTTTTTTATCTTTGGGTATGTAATAAGCTGATGATTAGAGATCTCATGATTGGTGATTTTATACTCTATCATGCTCCGTCACATAAGATCATTTGGACTTGAAATGTTGATGCAATGAACACAGGGCTCCTTATACCTAGGATCAGATTCTTGATTCCATATAAAAGGAACAACTCAGCCAAAAACATAATCTGATGGTTAAATCCCCAATCTCCATGATTGATTTTATTACTCTATCGATTCCTTTGGGTAAGATTGGCTTGAAGAAAATACATACGATCTATGAGCAAGAGTGATTATTACTCAATCATTTACTATACATACATCGTACCCAAGAGTATGAAGTGAATATTTTTGTTTAAGTTTAAAGAAGGGAATGAAAGAGTAATAATTATAGAAATGATATTCTGAAATGGACTGGCAGGGTGTACGTGTTCTGGGGCTAGATTTGAAATGTCTACCCCCATTTAATTTGCAACTAATCCTAATTACTCCCTTACATGCGGTGTCTTCCATTTTATACTCCAATATTGGTTACTAGTAAGTCTAGTGTGTATATATATATATGAAACTCAAAGCATATAATATATTCATCAACTCTACTTTCGCTTTGCCATAATTAGCAAGCTAGAAGCAAGTTAATTATGGCTTCCAAATTGATATGTTTTTTGGTAATCTTTTCTCTAACATCACTTTTTATGGGTGCTTCTAATGCTTGGCTTATGCAGCCAGACTTTTATGCCTCTAGTTGCCCTAATGTTGAACAAATTGTGTACAATACTATGAAGCAAGCCGTTAGTAAGGAACCACGTATGGGTGCATCTATTCTTCGCTTGTTCTTCCATGATTGCTTTGTCAACGTAAGTATTTTCGAATCTATAACCTTATTATTTATTTAAGTTTTTTTTTTATTTATTTTTTTTATTTTTTTTATTGCAATACCATGTTCTATGTACATTATTAAACAATATACTACGACGTATGAAAAATTATTATGCAAAGATGGGAGAATTTCGTTATTTCCTTGTAATGTCATTATTGATTGTAATATTGTTGCATTTTTCTAGAAAGAAAATGGTTGGGAGGATGATGATTAGTTTGGACAATTATGGGTCCCTAGACAATTATATAGAAGGTTTAGAGAAAATGATGGATGTTATCTACATAAAAAAAAACTGAGTGAGAAAATGAAGAATTAAAAAAATATATATACTTCGTATATAATACTAACGTTACATGATCTATTGTCAAGGAAAAAAAAAATGCTTTACCTAGGGTTAGAGACCGGTTGCATAGTGAGGTTTGATCGCATTCATTAATATCATGAGAGACAACCCTAACCAATGGATAATATACAACTTTGATAGAAGCATATATATATATATATATATATTAATAAATGATCTAATTTATTTTTAATATTGGCACAATGGTTAATTAAATATGATCCATACTTTTTAGGAAAAATCACATCTTTTTTGTCACACCCCTAAATAATAATAGATTAATAGAAGTACATACATAAAAGTCTTTGACCTAATTTTATCTCATAATGAATATAAAGGTTCATCCAAATAAATCATGTGATTAATTTAGTTATTAGAAATTATAAAAGAAATGTACGCTGAGTAGTAATTGTGAACAAAGAAAGTATATATGGCCGTTTTATATTTACGCTAAAGGATCAATTAAAATAGACTGGAATCAATATATACACTATATTGTTCATCTATTAGACTAACTCATTCATGTTTTTTTCATTCATTTCCGGTAACATTAGGGTTGTGATGCATCTGTACTCCTAGATGATACACCAACATTTACAGGGGAGAAAACTGCTAAAGCAAATGCAAACAACTCAATAAGGGGTTTTGAAGTGATTGATGCAATCAAGTGTAATCTTGAAGCTGCTTGCCCCCAAACTGTATCGTGTGCAGACATTCTAGCTCTTGCATCACGAGACGGAGTTAGATTGGTAAGCACATAAAACTCATAAAAATACTTTGGATTATAGATTTCATTGTGCACATAAATCTAAAGATTAATTAGTTTGTATTACTACTCCCTATCACTTGAGCTTCATTCATTGTTTAAGAACAAAAAGAAAAACATTACAAAATAAGCCATATTGCTTACTTCCTCCCTATTTTCCAAGCATAGGAAAATTGAAAAATACATGCAATGTTTTAGCTAGCATCTGTAACAAAAATGTGAATAAATCTATAATCTATAATAATATATACAGTCTGGTATATAATAATATATATACTTTCTCCGTTTCTTTATAGTTGCAACATACACTTTATTGATATGGTATTTAAGACAAATAGATCTCACATGATATAATACACTTAAAAAGGGGTTAAGAGGTTGTTAGAGGTATAATCAAGTGGCCATGAGCTTTAAATAAAGATAATAGTACAATTTTCACCATAAAAATCTTCCATTTATGTGTGTTGCAACTATTATAATATTTTCATTATAGGAAAGTGTTGCAATTATAAAGAAACAAAGGAAATAATCCGTATTAAAAAGCGTTTCAAATTGCATTAATCTTGTCACGTCGCTCATTCCATCATCTTTAATTCATCTAAGTGTTAACGTTTATGTCATCCCTTATAAACATGCATGGTTGGTATACAATATGAACCCATTGCAACCACAAGTTTGATAATAATCCCATTTGCTTATCTAAGTTGAAGTACATTGCATTGTATTATTTCAGAACCATATTAATGACAATTGAAAATGAAAAATGAAGTTGAATACAATAACTCAAGACGTACATTGTCTATTTATCCCACCAAAACTAGTTATTCAATTTAAACACCTCAATTTGTTCTTATCAAAATTTATTATTTTAAGATCCTACCACTTGATGTACCTAACTATATGTTCTCACATTTGTAGTTAGGAGGGCCCACATGGAAAGTACCACTAGGTAGAAGAGATGCAAGAACAGCAAGCCTAAGCTTGGCAAACCAAAACCTTCCACCCCCACGTTCAAGCCTTGCTAACCTCACTTCCCTCTTTGCAAGACAAAACTTAAACATCAACGAAATGACCGCCCTCTCCGGCGGCCACACCATCGGCCTCGCTCGTTGCATCAACTTCCGACCCCACATTTACAACGACACCGACATAGATCCCACCTTTGCAGCCACTCGCCAAGCCAACTGCCCTAAACAAGCTGGGAATGGAGACTTCAACTTAGCCCCTCTTGATCGTCAAACACCAAACAAATTCGACAACGATTATTTTCAAAACCTTGTTCAAAAACGCGGTCTATTACATTCGGATCAAGAGCTTTACAATGGTGGTTCTCAAGATTCCTTGGTGAAGAAGTATAGTACTAATCAAGCTGTTTTCTTTCAAGATTTTGTTGCAGCGATGATCAAGATGGGGAACATTAAGCTTCTTACTGGTACTAAAGGAGAGATTAGAATGAACTGTCGCGTTATCAATTAGATTATTGTTAATATCATCAGTTTATTTCATAATTCTGGTTTTAATTACACTTGTACGTACTATATATAAATGGAAATTTTGTGAAAAACTACCTATTATAGTTCAGAATTTGCGAGAAACTACCTATTAAAAAAATGTTGTAATTGACTACCTAATTTTCGAAAAATGTTGTAATTTACTACCTTACGCCGGATTATGAATGAGTTTGACCAAAGTTCTCCGATGTTGACTTGGTCACGTGACCATCACGTGACACTTAATGACCCTTTTCTTTCACCAAGTGTCACGTGACCAAGTCAATGCCGGAGAATTTTGGTCAAACTCATTCATAATCCGGCATAAAGGTAGTAAATTACAACATTTTAAAAAAATTAGGTAGTCAATTACAACATTCTTTTTAATAGGTAGTTTCTCGTAAATTCTAGATTATAATAGGCAGTTTTTCACAAAATTTCCTATATAAATATATGATTTGTATTAATTGTTGTTAGTGTTGTTACGTGGAAGTTGGAATTATATCCGAGTGATTTATGGATGTGAAAATTGAAAAGGACAAGTGTAATTATGTACTCCATTTCTTACTCCGTATTATAAAATAAACTTGCATGCGAATGGAGTCGTATAATATTGGGATTATTACATCATAAGATGATGATGTGTCAGATTATGAATGGTCAATTGTTTTTATTTATTTTTAAAAGCCTAAATGTATTATACATGTAATTTTTTTTAACAATACGTAATTATAGTTTTTTAAATTTAATTTTTATCTTTTTAAGATCATTTTCGAAAAATTAAATTATAATTAAAATTTAGAAAATAAAAAATTCATCATTTTTCAATAATGTTCTTCATTCATGTTCAACAATGTTCTTCATTCATGTCATAGATTAACAACCTATTCCCAAAATCATTGTTATTTGTGAAAGTATACTCAAATCCGGCCTAAAATCCTCATTAAAACTCATAAATGAATTGTTTTGTAGAGTTTCGCTTTTTTAAGTTTTGATTTTTAGGTTCTGTTCATTAAAAAATCTCAACAACAATCTTATTTTTAAGTATTTGTTAAAGAAGAATTATATTGATAGGTGTTTTGCAATATCATAGTGGTCGGCGACATAGTGATTTAGGTTGAATGATTGGCGTTCTTCCAATTGTATAATATGAGAAGACGACTATTTTTTTTTTATTTTCGAGTCCCATCAGTTTGATCGACACAAATTAATTAATTTTTCGCAAACTTGTTCGTGGATTAGGTAGTGACCTAAACTACTTTTGGTCATTGCATATAAGAAGTATATGCTCTGTTTATATTTAAGGCATTTACCTATGTATACGTTGGGCGTGACCTCATAATTATATACTAAACCATAGCATTGATGGCTACAAATCTACAACAAGGGGGTGAAAGGTATAAACTAGGAAAGAATATCTACGGTCAACTAATTTACAATTATTCAAGTCATAGGCTATAAACTAGGAAGGAAAATAATACACCTAACTAATTCACATTTACAAAGATATATACAATATATGTTTAGCATACAATATATTAAACACTTTCAAACATATATCATAATGGTTTATTGACGAAAGGTATATCAATTATTATAATTACCAAAATTTATCCTATTATTAAATATTAGTTATAATCTTATAATTTATTTTATAATAACCAAAATTATCCGTGTTTTATATATTAGTTGTTTTCCATTCAAAAAAAATATGTTAGTTATTATCCTATATTAGTTTAATATTGTAATTAACAGAATTTATCCTATTTTAAATTATGTTTCATATTTTTGAGAATGAATAAAAATTAAATGTTTAATTCATGATGAATTTTATATTGTGATATAATTGAGTCGATAAAAATGATGATGATGATGATAATAATAATAATAATAATAATAATGATGATGATGATGATGATGATGATGATGATGATGATGATGATGATGATGTTTAATTCCAGGACGTGTTGTGGCTTTTGCGGCTCATCGAAAGCGGGTTAAGTATGAAGCTCGTTGTCTGGCGATTGGATATGGTTTCATTTCCTTCTCATTTTCTTCGCTTGGGGAATTGGAGAAGGAGGTCGTTGCATTGCTGAAGCGGATTCAGAGGTTCTCGATGACGCAAGACATTGGGGCTCGTGCTGCAACTCATATATTCACTAGGGTAGGCTTTACTATTTTTAGAGGAGTGGGGGCCCGGCTTCACACTAATTTATTGTAGGTTGTATGACTTTTGTTTTTGAGATATAATAATAATAATAATAATAATACTACGACTACCACCACCACTACGACTACCACCACCACTACTACCACTACGACTACCACCACCACTACTACCACTACGACTACCACCACCACTACTACCACTACGACTACCACCACCACTACTACTACTACGACTACCACCACCACTACTACTACTACGACTACCACCACTACTACTACTACTACTACTACTACCACCACTACTACTACTACTACTACTACCACCACTACTACTACCACCACTACTACTACTACTACTACTACTACCACCACTACTACTACCACTACTACTACTACCACTACCACTACCACTACCACTACCACTACCACTACCACTACTACCACTACCACTACTACTACCACTACCACTACTACCACTACCACTACCACTACCACCACTACTACTACCACTACCACTACCACTACTACCACTACCACTACTACTACTACCACTACCACCACTACCACTACCACTACCACTACCACTACCACTACCACCACTACCACTACCACCACTACTACTACCACTACCACTACTACTACTAATAATAATAATAATAATAATAAGGATTTTTTTGAAAATAACACCACATATTTTGAAAAAAATAGATTATAACACCACCTTTTCTCGAATTTGTATTATAACACCACATAAAAATCAAAAAAATAGATTTTACCACATACTAACGGATTCCATCCAAGAATCCGTTAGTGGGGCTCACTTTTGACACATGTCACTCATTTATTGGATTAAAAAAATTTATTTTTTTTTTTTAAAAAAAGAAAAATCCTAAAATGCTAAACCAGCCACCACCGCCGATGGGTTCCCACCACCGTCACCCAAACCTAACCCCCGAAGCTCCGAGACCGTCGCTGAACCACCGTCGTCACCATACCCTGCCCCAAAACCTCCGATACTGTCACCACACCATCGAAACCCCAACCTAAACTAGCCGAAACCCCAGCCCACATCGTCGTCGAACCACCGTCAGCCGAAACCTAACCCTACCCAGCCAAAACCTCCCAGCCACTTCGATTCCTCCTCGAAAAACCACCCCTGTACTTCCGCTTCACCTTCAAACCAGTCGAAAACCACTTTCGAAGCCCTAGCTAGGTCGATTTTGCGGTGAGGCGACGACATGGGTGGTTTTCGGTGGTTCGTGGTAAGGGTTTGCACGAACTGATTGGTGGGATTTGCGCGGGGGGAGGGGGCCGTGGTGGGTGGGGATGATGGGCGGTGATTTCGCCGGTGAAGGAAGGGTTGTCGGCGTCAGTATGAGTTTCCGACTGTGGAGTCGCGACCGCCGGTGGTGGGCTAGTGGCTGGGTTAGGGTTATAGAGTGTTTTTCTTTTTTTTTTTTTTTTAATTTTTTTTACCTTTATTTTTTAAACCAATGTCTTATTGCCACGTGTCTATCTTGGGTCCCACTAACGAATTTCATCCAAAATTCAGTTAGAAGGTGGTGAAATCCAATTATTGGATTTTTTTGTGGTGTTATTTTCAAAAAATCCCAATAATAATAATAATAATAATAATAATAATAATAATGTCACTATTCTAACTAAATAGGAGAAACAAATTAATACTAGACAATAGACATGACCTAATATAATAAAATTTATGTAATTTCCTTACTTTATATAAGGTGGTTGAATATTTGTTTTAAAAATGAAAAGAAAATTATGTAGCTTACTTACATTATATAACACGCTTCCATATTTATATATTTGTACTCCAGGTAATTAATGACCTAAACATTTCTAAGTCATAACATTTTTATTTAATGTTATTTAATTAGTGTATCCTCTTTCTTAAAGTATCAATTGAAAGTCTAATAGATTTAAGTTTATCACTTTATAAATGAAAATGTTATCATCTTTAATTCATTGTTGTAACACTATACTAAAATAGAAATATCACAATAGTAATAACACACTATAAAAAGGAATGTTTGGGGGATTTTTCTATGTGACTGGCTTCAACGTGTGGCTGGGGTTACTCGGTCAGGGGTGACTCGAGTTAGTCCTAACCGAGTAACCCCTCAAGTAACCTCTGATTGAATATTCCCTCGAGTAACCCCTGATCGAGTAACCCCTCAGGTAACCCATGACCGAGTAACCCCTCGAGTAACCCCCTAAACGAGTAACCCCTGACCATCCCTTCAAGTAACCCTTGATTGAGTAACCCCTAATCGAACCCCTCAAGTAACTTCTTACCGAGTAACCCCTGATCGAACCCCTCAAGTAACTTCTGACCGAGTAACTCGAGTAACCCCTAACCGAGTCACTTTAGTAACACCGGCCACATGGTGTGGCCAACCATATATAAAAATTTGTGTTCAAATTAAAGAATGTACACTGTTTAGGGTAAAAATTACCCCAAATACGTGGTCCAATCCTATGGTGACACGTGGCCCAATAAAGAGGTGACACGTGTCACTATAGGAAGATTATGACACGTATGAAGAGCATGAGAGCACCTAAAAAATAAAGAGAGTAAAGGCCTCCTTACATCATAAGGCCCAACTACCCTTGAAAGCCGCAAAACGGGGCCCTAGAGGGACACGTGCCCTACACTAATTGCGCAGCGAATCAGAGCACATATCTCTAGGTCACTTATTCTAAGGGGCACAAATTCCTACCCCTATAAATACCCTAATCATTGATGATGGGAGGGGTGGATTGTGACATAACAATAAATAGAGCACTAAATTGCCCAACTTCTCTCTACTTTCTCACTCTAGTACTCTGTCCTTTTCAAAGTTTAAAGTTAAAATTTAAAAATTCCTCTGTCTCTCTCGGTTTC